ATTTAAACCATTGTTTTTCAAGGGAAATTTTAATGTGAAAAACATGTTTTATTTTTCTACTAACTGCAAGCCTGGCCTATGTAAGCAGTCAAGCTCCTCATCTGACGAGGGCTGGGGGGTGGACGGGGGCTCCACGGGGGGACATGCCCTGCGGCGGCTCTGCCCTTCGCTGGCTGAACCTCCGGCTGCTGAGAGCCAAGGACCGGGGTCCTGCAGGGCTGCCAGGCTGGCGGGGCCAGGATGCCCCAGCCCAGCTCAGCTCAGCCTCGGCCACAGCGGCTGTCGTCATCGCAGCTCGTAGCAGAAACCTCCTCCTCTCAGCGAGGGCTGGTGCTGTGAGGTCAGACTGCAGGAACGGCGTCAGCCCGCTGGCATCCACGGACCTGTGCAGGATCAGCCCCCCCAGTGGCTCTGTTGGATCGCTTCTCCCGCGACTCAGAGGGGCCAGGCTGGGCCCTCGGCAGGAGGGTTACCATCAGCCCTTGCTTACCCCACAGCCTGCGCCCCGCTGTGCAGGATAGCTGCTTGCCTTTGCTTTCCCAAACACGCTGCCCTCATCCTGGGCAGTGCTGCCCCAGCCGCTGGGGGGAGCCCCGGGCCCGTGGTGCTCTGGAGTCCTGCACCTGCATCCTGCACCGTTGTCCGATGGACTGACGGCAGGATGCAGCCGCAGGTGCTGCATCTGGTGATGCAGTCAATGGGCAGAACGAGGCCGGCGTCTCCCACCCCTTCCCGAGCCGAGCTCTGTCCATGATGAGTGCTGGGTTATGGTGGCATGCTGCTCCAGGAGCACTCTGGAGAAGACCCCCTGAGCAAGAAGGTGGAAGAAATATGCTTAGGTGCCATGGGACTCTGCATCCTCCGTCTGGCCAGTATCAGAGGAGGGCGGCCAGCAGCCTGGCTGTCCCGTCCGGCTAACCAGCACGTTGCTCCTGGACCAAAGATCAGCAGAGCAGACGCTGCCCTTCCCGGTGCCGCTCTGCCTCCTCCAGCAGCACCTCTCCACAGCCTCTCCGAGGAGCCAGAGAGGCTTTAATGACCCAGGAGGTTTTACCAACTCTCAGCTCCTCTGGACCCAGTTCAGCCCCACACGATTTCATTACGTTTTACGGCGCTGCCAGCTCTTCCCTCAAGGCTCGGTTTGGCCCTTCCTTCCACCGCGGCAGAGGAAGCATTTACACTGGGGAAACCGCACGGCCGGCACAGCCGCTGACTCACGGCTTGTTTACACGGTGTGCCCGTGAAAGTTACTCAGAGAAGTGTCACGCGTGGCAGAGCCCAGCCACGCGAGCCCGGAGACACGGCAGCCGCCACAGATCCTGCAGGGACAGTCACAGAAAGCATGGCTGAGCTGGTGCTCCCAAGGAGGTCCTGGGCACAGAGGCGATTCCTGCTGTAGCTTCCCCATGGATGCTTGGAGCATCCTCCTCCTCTGCCCCTGTGGGATGAAGGACCTGATTTGCTCACGGCATTGTCCTCACACCTGCCCCAGCACCTTCCTGGGGGATGGATGTGCACCGCTACTGTTCCCTCTGCATGCACGTACACGGGTGGTTTTCCTGCATCATCTTCCTCGTGAAAGTGTTCCCTGCTTGGAGTAGGAGGTGGAAGCACTTGGGTGCTCTGGGGAGCAACCCTGGCAGCAGCGTGGGGCTGTGTGGGGCTGGGCGGCAGCGGGCAGCCCCACTCTCCTTCCTCTCCGGCCAGAGCCGTGTCCTGGGCACAGCCGGTGCCTTCCCACTCTGCTTGTGGTGTGCCTGGGTCGGCCTGGACCCCGGCAGGTGACCCGTGGCTTGTGCAGGCATTTGGGGCTGCCGAGATGCAGCCTTGCTGGCCATGGTGGAGCCCTGCCGACCCCTCACCCCTGCTCCACCCCCCCCCGCGCCCACCCCCTGCGAGGCTCAGCCAGCCATGTGGGCAACAAGATCGTTTTGTAAGGAACTCATTAAGGCGGCTATAAATCTGTGTGTGCACAGACAGGAGAGATGGAAACCAGAGCCAACTGCAGGCCATAGACAAGAGACATCTGTTCTTTCACTGAGAGGGGAAACACGCTTCGTCAGACACGGCTCCTTCTCCTGGGCCGGGCAGCAGGGTCCTGTGGGACAGGATGGGATGGGATGGGACAGGACAGGACATCCCTGCTGCCTCCTGCCTCTGGCCGCTGCTTTCCTGCGTCCCAGCCTTCCCGATCCCCACTCCACGCTGCTTGCACCTCCTGGCTCCATGCTCCGGCATTTTCCTGGCAAGGGCAGAACCCAGAGCGCCTTCCATCCAACACGGGGCAGAGCTGGGGATGCCAGAACCAAAGATGCTTGGAAGAGAAGAGGTGTTGGGCGAGTGCGGCTCTTGCTGAGGGCAGCCAAAGCCCTGGAGAGCGGGAGGATGGCACTGAGGAGGGAAGAAGGAGCAAACCCACCCTGGGATGATGCTTCCTGCAGCTCTGGGCCCTGCAGAGCACAGGGCGATGCCAGGTGCCAGCAGCAGGATGGGGGTCTGGGTCTCCCCCCCAGGTTCTCCCCAAAGGCCCAGCTGGGACCGACCACCCCAAGGGAGAGGTGTGGAGAGGGAGAGGGCCCCGAGCAGCAGCAGCAGCAGCAGCAAGGGCAGGGAGCAGCTCACACTCAGCCGAAACCAGAGAGCTGAGAGCCATCCTGATGGACTCACTGGCTGGGCGTGTGGAGGGGGTGCGGGCAGCAGAACAGATGCGGGCTTTAATTAAGCCTTTCACACAGTGCCTGGCGAAATCTTACCCGAGTAATGAAATCCAATTGCCTGAGATATGAGCACTTTTACAATACACTGAAAACTGGCAGGGAGATCATCAGCAAATGGCAGGGAGTCAGGCTGGGGGGGCTGCAGGAAGGGGCAGCGGGTGCCGCATCATTTAACCTCTTTCCTGCTGGCAGCCTGGAAGCCAAGGTAAAGGTTAAGGTAAAGGTGTGTTAATTAACTGCCGGGTTGATGCTGCATTAGGAGCCAGAGCCACGAGCCCAGCGGGGAGGGGAAAGACACGCTGCAAGAAGCCGTCTCGCGAGTCCGGGCATTTGCAGGGTGCAGTCGGGGTGGCGGAAAGGCATTAGCAGGAGGGATCTGAGTTTGATCAGGAGTAAAACAGGCCGGGTGATCAGATTTGGAGGGGCAGGTCTTGGGAAGATATGCAAGCCTCCCGCCCCCCTGCCCTCCCCACACGCAAACTCTCCCGCCCTGCCCTCCTTCATCTGCAGAAGTGGAAGTGTCCCAGGAACATGAAACGATTACTCGGCGAGGAGAATCCAGCTCAGCACTTCTTGGCATTTGTTCACGGCTTTTCATCTTCAAAGCTCCTTGCAAACATTAGCTAACTAATCCCTGCAACCCTCCTGTGAGATAGTGCAGGATCAAGCAGAGGAGCATTATCTCGCCACAGCAGATGGGGAAACTGAGGCACGGAGCTGTGACGCTGCTGCCCTGGGGCGCGGGGCGAAGCTACGTGTCAGCGCTGGGGGTGGAGTGTGGCCAGCCAGGCCATCGAGGTGCGGATCGCACTGCTCCGCCACTCTCTCCCCAACGCCAGTGATGCAGCCGTGAGCCATAAGCATCTCTCTGATTTACCCGGCTGGAGCCGTACGGACACGGTGGAGAAAATCCAGCCCCAGGGTCAGAGCTGCTGGCAGCAGCCCCACACCTTGAAGGGCAGCTCCCCACCACTGCAGAGGGGCCCTGTGCTGAGGCGCTGCAGAGCCAGTGCCATCCACAGCACTGGGGCCGTGCTTTCAGCTCACGTCTCGCACCGGCAACTTGCCACGTGCTCCGCGGGATGCTCGTGCAGGGGGAGACTGAGGCTCAGGTTGAGCTTTGCCTGGTTCACGCTTGCTGGGTTCACACTGTGCTCTAGTGCTGACCCTTGGCAGATCTCGAGCTGGCCCTGCTGCACCGAGCGCAGGTCCCGTCCCGGCGGTTTCTGGGATCCTGCGGCCCCACAGCTACGCCTGAGCTCGGGGAGCGCCTCGGGCTGCGGAGCCCCTGGCCAGCAGCCCTGCTCCTCCCCACGGGTGCTGCTGGGGTGTTTGGCAGCATCTCTGCTTGCATGGGAGAAACTCATGCATCCCGCTGCGATGGGGAGTGTACCGGGGCCGGGATTGCTTCGCTCCAAGGGGGAAACGGTGACCAAAAGACATCCAAGGACCCGCCTAACGTCTGCCAGCGGATCCAGGCCATCAGTATGAAACCTCTGCTCGTTTGCCTGTGCCCTGACCCTGGGCTCTGTGAGAAACACTTCTCAGTTGAATGTCTTGTTGCAAATTGCAGCTCTAATTGGTTTAGCAGAGTTTAATTAGCCTGAACTGATGAAAGAGGCGAGATTCCCTCCTTAAAGGAGCCCAGCAGCTCAGGAGGAGAATGAAGTAGCCAGGGTTTTGGGCAGGAGGATGGTTGGCTCTTGAACTCAGCCTGAAATCTTGCTGCAGCCCGAACCGTAGCGGGACGCCGCCTGACCCAGCACAATGCCAGCACCCAGACGGAAAGGTCAGATGTGAGGCTGCCATTCACCGCGGCTGCAAAGAGCTCCTTTGTCCCCGCTCCAGCTCCTCCTGCCGCCCCCAGCCCCCTGCCCATGGGCTCCTTTGATTCTCCTCGGGTGCCGCTGCCACGGCAGGGCTGGTTTCCCCGTGTTTCCCGGCCTGGCTCCTCTCCCCCCTCACTCCGCGGGTGCTGCTGGGGCTCAGTTCCCGCCCGGGCCGTTCGTGGGAGCGGGGAAGCAGCATCACCCTGCATGCGGCAGACTGGTTGGTGGAGTTTTGCTCCCAGCTTTGCTTGAGAACCAGCCTTGGCCCCCGCCTGAGGCGTGACCGTGGGCACGTCGCTTCCCCGCCCCGCGGCAGGACGGCGCTTCCCAGGGCTGCCGGAGCCCCAGCCCGGGCAGGGGGCGAGCGGAGCCCCCGGCACAGCTTTGCAGGGCGGCCTCGGCAGGGCTCCGAGCCCCCGGGCACCAGCAGGCCTTTGCGAGGCAGCGCCGAGTTATGCCGGCTCGGGGGAAGGAGCCCGACCCGCTTCCCTCCCGGCCTCCAGGCTCCTCCTGCCCCAGTCAGGCGGAGCGGGAGCCCGGCTGCTCCCTTCCAGATGCTGCTCCAGAGCGAGGTCCGACTCCTTCCCTGCCAGAGCCGGCCGGTTGTGCAACCCTGCTCGCAGCCAGGGAAAATCCCTTCCTGGCCTCCGCAAGCTCCTCTTGCATCCTGGAGCATGTGAGTGAGTGCATCACCACCCGCTCGCTCATTGAAATCCAGCTCAGGGATTTGGCTCCCCAGCCCTCTGCCCTTACATGGGCAATCGCTCCGAGACCGGCAGTGCGAGCCAGGGGTCACGCTGGCCCCGAACAGGGACGGGGGCAGAAGCAGCACTGCCCAGCCCAGGGCCAGCACCACGCCAGGAGCCTACACAGCCGGGGGCTGCTGGCTCTGTCCTTCCCCCCGGCACAGCAGAGCCTTCACTGTCCCTGGTGGCAGGGCTTCCCGCTCCGTGCACAAAGCTGTCCAGAGGTGCCGTGGCACTGCAGGGCCCGAGGGCTGCTCCACTGAACCCCTGCAGTTTACACCAATGCCACCTGGAGTAAACCCAGCCCTCCCCATTCCCGTCCCTTCCCTGGGGGTGCAGGGGGCTGTGTGGGGAGAAGGGGAGGAAGATCCACCTTGATGGATGGCCAGCCCGCTGCTCTTCCCTGGGACCCATCCTTAGGACAGAGGGAGGGATGGGGACGTGGTGGTGCCAGCGGACACAACTGCTCTGCCTGCGCTGGCTGCTGGCATCACACCCCGCTCCCCCCCAGCCGTGGGACCGGGGCTGCTCCGTGTCTCACTGGACCAAAGCTGCATCCAGCCCCATCCCGCGCCAAAGCGAGCTGCTCATGCTGTGCTGGCACCAGCTTGAAGCGAGTAGGCTGCTGTCGGGCCGGAGGGGTGGTGCAAGGTCCCCGGGGCCGGGGCCCCTCTCCTGAAAGAGCCCGGCTCAGTTCTGCTGAAAACATGACCTCAGCTGAGGCCAGTGCAAAGGGTAAAACGTTCCTCAGCTGCACGGCTGGGAGATGGACACAGTTCACAGGGCTGGAGAAGGCCCCTGGGCGGCAGCAGGAGGAGTGGGGACAGGCAGAGCCAGTGTCCCCAGTGGTCCGCCCGGGGAGGGGGGTGACAGATGGGGGGCCCTGACTGCACCCCGACCCTCCTTGCAGACAGTGGGTGATCTCTTTGTGGTGGCATCAAGCAGTGAGCGAGGCCAAGCAAAGTCATGGAGCCTGACCTGCCTTGCCCTGGCCTCCCTGCAGCCCCGCTGCCTACCCCAGTCCTGCCGGGAACCCCCCAAAGCCTTGCAGTGCTGGCAGAGCCGTGGTTCCCCAGCCCAGGCCGGGCTGTGCGGGGTCCAGCGCATGTTCGGGAGCCAGGACAGAGCAGCCCTCGTGGCGATGGGGAATTGCGGGAGGGCAGTGACAGCGTATGCTGTGGGGGGTACGTCCCCCCAGCTCTTCTCCTTCCCCTTCTCACCTCGCATGGCTCGCCCAGGCAAGGGCTCGCGCGGCTCGAGGCAGTGGGACCCAGCGATGCCTCGGTTTCCCTGCTGGCGCAGTGTGGGTGATGCCGGGCTGCCGGCGGTGCTGCGCTGGTGTGTAGGGGGCAAAGATGAAAGGGGCCGCATGACACAGACCTTACCGTAACTCTGCTGCCAGACGGGGCTGCTGCGGGGAGGAGGAGGAGGAGGGCGGCGGGAGGAAGCAGACAGAGGGTTCACGCGAGGATGGGTGGGTAGGTAAGGAGCCGCGTGCGGGAGGGGCAGGATCGGGCAGGGGGGCTGCTCTGGGCAGCACCCAGGCCCCAGCGGTCCCCCACGCCTCGGGGTCTGCCGGGACATATCCCTGCTCTCTCTACCCCGGCCCCCGCTCCGCTGCTGGGCTCTGCCGCCTCTGCGCCCCGAGCACGGGGGGCACCCCTAAACCTTCCCCTCCCCACCTCCATCCCAGTGCGGTCCAGCTGCGGTGTGCCGGCCCCTGCCCGCCCCGGGGGAACGCACGGACACATCCCCACCGCGACACCCCCACCCTCGCCCACCCGGCACCCACAGGCGGTGACGAGCAGACCCTCGCCGCCCCCCC